AAATTGTTATCTAGACAAGGTGATTTAATTTATCATAAACTTGTATCGCCTCCATTTGCGACCATGACTCTCTAAATATATATATATATTCTTCGAATATTGTTTTATTATAGTAAGCGTAACCGTGGTAGTAAATGTTGCTTCGAAAATACTCGATCGTTTCGTAACCTATTTTATAGACGGCACTTAAATAGCCTTTACATTTGAGATGTACCAAAACCTCGTTGCTTACCCTTAGTGCGTATCTTTAGGAACTTACTCTCGATCACTTCTTTTTCATTCATGCTACACCTTCTTATTTTAGATTATATATATATATATATATATATATATATATATATATATATATATATATATATATACTCCATATTTAGTAGCCAACCCAGAAGTGAACAAATTGTTCCTAATCTCTTCTTTATTAGGCGATAAATTTACACTAAGTGCCTATTTAGAATGTGACTTAAGCATCAATGCGGATTTAACGCTCAATGCAGTTGGTGCTTCAGCAAAACTTATACCGCTCTCCTAATTCAGATAATATCTAACTAGATGATCTTTTTTGAATAGGTCGATATGGTTGGATCATGATTCCATGACCCAAATTTTCCATAATCTAGATGAAAGAACTCGAATTAAGGAGACATTACTTTAATTGTATCCTAAAGAGATGTGCTCTTCCCTTGAGGAATTAACTTAAAATAATCAAAGAGCTCTTCACGTCACCACCTCTCTAACTATACAATTGTATTCGGCTGAGTTCTAATAGAATACGTCACGAATTGAATTTCGGGACGAAATTCTTTCAACCAGGGGAGACTGTGACAACCGTCAAAATTCGAGTCGGTTCTAGATTTGACTAGACTTAGTTGCACATATAGGCACTACACATACTAGACTTAGTAACTAGAAGCTAAGTTATAAGCAACTAGAAACTTGGAAACAATTAGAATCAATGGATAGTGTACTCAGATTTCACATTGATATGTGAATTCCACATCTACTGAGCTGTAGTGACTATCCATATTTGGGTCACTCTTTGACTCGAACAACATTTCATGAATCATATACACCCATCATGCACTTGACCTAGAAGTAGAAGTTAGGTCAAAGTCTCATAGAAACTTAAGTCAAAGTTGAAGAGTAGGACTAGTATACTTGATTCCTCAATTTCGCTTGAATCTCGAAACCACTACATAGAATGCCAATAAATCGATAAAATAAGTTACAAATACTATTGATAACTATAAAAGAGTTATAATACCATATAATAGTTTGAAGTCTCAAAAATACAATTCACTTTGATGTCTAAAGATTTATTAAACTCCAAAAACCTTAAAAACCCTAAAACCTAAATTTTATAAAGTATAACATCAAGAATCATATAAATTTTTTTATGAAACTTATAAAATTATCTTAAAATAATCAAGTTGGGAAATTAAGGAAATTATAGTTTAATATACCAACATTTATCCTTATTTTATAAGTGGAAAATCAAGGAGTTTATAAAACACTGTAAAGCTTAAGCATATTTTATAAAAACTTTAGAATTTTATTAAAAATTGGGGGAAATGATTTGAATGGAATTTATGAGAGAGAAATCCTATCTCCTCCTCCCAAAAATCAGACTCATCCCCCAATACACCATTTTCCCAAGTTATTAATCAATTTCACTCACCCACTCCATCTCTTTCTCTCTCACACTCCCGCACTTCATTTTCTCTCTATTCTCTCTTCCTCTCTCCCTCAACCACGAAATTCTCTAGAAAATGGGTCATAAAACACACCATGAACTCTAAATCTTAATCATCTTGAGGCGTTCTTAAAGGTAAACCCGAAAATCATTCATTTTCCTTCTCTTTTCCTTTAAGTTTTACTTGTTTTTCATGGATTTTCTCCATCTTCTACTCCATTCTAATGAAAGATCATGAACACATAAACATACACACACACAAACTCACGGTTTTGATGATGGTGGTGGTAGGATTTCACCTAAAAACAACACGCATGTTGTTAATGGTGAAATCCAAGGACCTAAACCTAAGTCAAAATCAAGGAAATGCACTTTTCTACATGTTTTGGTGGAAAAACACCACATGCACCCTATGTTTTCTCTCAAAAATGATTTTTGATCATATGAAACTCATTAATGATCTTCAAACAAACATGCGTGTGGTGATCTTCAACTTAGATGCTTGATGATCAAAGTATGTTGTTAAAAGCTTTCAAATATGTTCATAAAAGATTTATTCCCAAATAAATACCTAAAACTTCTTTTATGTTCAAAAGATATTTTTGCCAGAGTCCAACCAACAATATAAGATGATATGTAAATTTTTAGAAAATAATTCGTTTTTATCGAATTATTATAATTAATGCAAGAAAATAGGGTAATAAATCATATAAAATAGTTTATGTGGTCTATAAATCCTAGTTAAATTCGTAGACGACGCGTATGCTAAATAATGATCCTTAGTTAATTTTCATCGATTTTTGTTACTGTTAATATGGTTTTGAATTTTCTTTTCGTTTGGCTCCAATAAATCATAAAAGCACTTTAGAAACTTTTAAAATGATATATAACAATTTTCACAGTTGCTACCAGAGGTATAAGACTCAGAAAAATATTTTCAGAATTTTTTATAATGCATTCCTGTTTTTCCCTGATTTTTGTATTTATAATGGCCTAAAACTAGGAAAAATAGTTCTACTCATCCAAAATTCATGAAAATTTACCCTAAAACCATGTAGTATATTAGGAGGCTACATAAAAATTTTGATGATTTTTCTCTTCTGTATACTATTTTTCTCCTATTTTATACGATTAAATACATTTAAATACACAAAATCGGATTTCATTATATGAAAACCACACTTGGTATTTTTCCCATAATATTTACTCTGTAAATGAAGTGTACACAATTTTTAATAATTTACTTTAACTGTTTAGTAATTATTATTCAGTTAATGATTATTTAAGAGGATTAAACAAGGAAAAATAGAAACACTAATTGAAAAGTATCTTTTATATTTTTCACAACTTTTACATGTATAATAAAAGTGTTACAAAAATTTTGGGCAATTTTGGAGACTGTTTTCTATTTATTTCAACTTTTATTAGAATTAATGCTCAAAAATCATAAAATAGGGTTAAACAGCTTAGAAATCGATTTCTTTATTTTTTCCAGCTTAATAATGTTTAATAACAGTAATTCAAAAAGTTTGGGTAATTTTGGAAACTGTTTTTATTGATTTTAGTTTTTATTAGAATAAATGCATAAAAATCATAAAAATTGGTTAAACAGTTTAGAAACTCATTTTTATATTTTTCACAGATTAACTATGTGTAATAATAGTTGTAAAACTTCTTTGGTGAATTTTTGAAACTGTTACCTATTTATTTCTATTTTTCTAGAAAAAATACACAAAAATTAGAAATATTTTATTAAAGTTTTTGACAACACATATTAATATTTTTCCTAGATTATGTACAGTGTAAAATAGTTACAAAAAAATTATAAGAATTTTTTATGATAATTTACTATTTTTCCATGATTTTATGATTATTAATGGAATTAAATGGTGAAAAATAGTTAGACAAATCAAAAATTCAAGAACGTTTATCTTAAGGTCTTTGAATTCAATTAAAACTGAAAAGCAAAGTTTGGGAAAGTTAAAAACTAAATTGATTTTGTTTTGAATATTTAATCATTGGAACACCTTTAAAATGTTAAATATTAATATTTCAATAATGGAAATTTTCAACTTAAATATTTATATAACAATTGATTCTTTGAAACTTAATTTCCACAGAAAAATGTTTGTAACTTATCAATATTAAATTTTGACATAATATTGGCATAATTCTATTGTAGTAGTATGTATACTAGCACTACTAGAAAAACAGCCTTTTACGACGCTCATTGCGCGTCAAGGAAGGCCTTGTCATAAAGAGAGATGACGCGCTTTTGCATGTCGTCTATAGACGACGCTCATTTACAACGCGCAATTACGACCTGCGTTTACGACACACAATGCGTATCAAGGAAGGCCCTGTCATAAAGGAAGACGACACGCATTCATGTGTCGTAACCTTACGACGCGCGTATTAATGACACGCAATGCGTATCAAGAAAGTCCCTGTCAAGAAAGGTCATGTCGTAAATGAAGATGACACACATTTTTGCGTATCATAATTTTAAATATTTAAAAAAAATGTTATTTATAGATTTACTAATTTTCAAATTAAATAATACATTAAAAATCTCATAATACAAAATAAAATACCATAAATAACAAAGATAATTCATTTCACTAATATGTCAAATACAAATAATTATTCCAAAAGTGAGTAAATGTTATAAAAAATGAACTCATTTATATACAATTGCATCATCTAGCTTACTGTGTGCCAACAACTCTCTGTGTGTTTACTTTTGCTTGAGTCTCGTTTCCTCCAAAGCTTCTATCCATGCAAAAATATGATATCTTGAGTCTGGTTTCAAGAACCAAAATCACCTTCAATCACCTAATTAAACTCTAATGTTGGTAGACTGGGAGTTCCAGAATCAAGTTTACATCCATCACCTTCAATCACTCAATTAAACTCTAGATCTTCTGTTGTTTGAAAGAAATTGGTGTTTGTAATCTATGAACAAAAAACGCAAAGACCAAGGTTAACATTTTCTATATAGAAAGCACAACTAGACATATGAATATATAATACGCAACATAAACATTTTCATGAAAATGATATAGACAAATAAGTAAGAGTGATGATATTGATACCTTAATTACACCATTGGTGAACGAAAATTTAATTGGTTGATAGCAATACTTGACCTCTGAAAGCAAATATACAAAAGATCGCATCATAATTAGCTCAATGGTTTAAGCTACCAAATTACCTTTGAGAACCAACCAGGTCTACCAAATTTAACCTTCCAAACCAAAGGGAATCACGGAATCATTTTCCCAATGACTTTCCACAATGCAGGTGAACACTATGTGATCGGCTGCTCTTGTTGTTCATATCTGCTCCTGCCACTTGTATATTTGCAGCACCCTGATAAAGCATGAAAACTAATTTTAAATCCAATATAATCATAAATAAGAAGTAACAAAGTGTAAACTTTCACTATATTCACACACCTGTAGTAGAAGCTTGAGGAATTCATCAACGTTTTGACACGATAGCTTAAAAAATAGATATGGGCAAATTTGGAAATTGAAAGACATACTTCCCTCTAAAGTTCTTATCTGGTAAGACATATTTTGACACGCACCCCCTTGTAGCAATCTTCTCTATATTTTTCTTTAAATCTTCTACATATTCCTTTAGCTTCTTAATTACATCTAGCACACTAAAATCATATCACAACGTTACACTATAACAAAATATAAAGTAAAAAAGACACCATAAATAACAAAAAATAAATTAAAAGACGAATAAGCTCACTTGTAAAAATGGGTCAGCCTCACATCTCCTAAAATCGTGCAATCAACAGGAATTTGATTGATCCCACCTCTGGGTCTGTAAGTGAAATAGCTCACCTCAACTGCATTCTTTATCTGCGATGATTTTGGAATAGACATAAAGGAAACCCCATTAACTTTAAGCTGGAAAACCTGCCACAAGAATCATAAGATTTAAGCTTTCTGAATTCTAATTGATATAACATTTACTTACTAAACTAGCACATAAATTATACTATTTGTAATATTTGTTCAAAGTGGTTAAGGGATTCTTGTATGAAAACCCCAAAAAGGATTTCGAAGCCAAGTTGAAAATCAGTGAACGCACACCTGTAAGTCTTCGGGTAAACTGCAACGCTTCAAATAAATGATCATAACACCAAAATTATTATTTATACTCTCAAGTAACTAATTGATACTTGATAGATAAAACTTAAAAAGTGTGTAAAAGAAAGGTAACCTTGTAAGAAACAGCCTTGCAAATTCAGATTTGCCTCTAAGGATACAATGATGGAGTGGTGTCTGGCCTGTTGATCCTTGGGCTTTCGTACGAAAACTTTTAAAGCATATTGCACCCAACAACAACGCAACAGATTTCAATCACACCATAGAGATACATACATACATACTACAACACAACTATAAATTAGAACAAAGATAAAACCTTTGCATGGATGAACTTCTCCTTCACAGCTATGGAATCAGAAGGACTAGGTTTACAGAAATAAAGAAGTTGGGGCTTATCAGAAGAAGACTTGTAAAACCTTCGAAAAAACTAAAACTAAAATGAGAGCACAAATCATAAAGAAGAAATGATGTAGGGGGCAGGGCAGGGTGTTTACCCAGTAGGAACCAGTTTTGTAATTTACTCTAACTGTTATAACCCTTGATTAAAAAATAGGAGAAATTTGGAAATTTGATACCTATGGTATCCAATTTTTTTTGTTTTGTTTTGGTACAAGGGCAAAATTGTCATTTCAAAAAAACTAACAGCTGAGTAGTTAGATTAACGATCCAGGCAGTAAAACCTATATGAAACCTTGTAATAAGGATCAAAACTGCAAAAAGAAACGATCCAGGCACTAAAACCTATATGAACCAGTTTTGTAATTTACTCTAACTATTATACCCTTTGGAAGCAAAGCCTCTAAAATCTGCAGTTTTTGGATAAAGAAACATGGTTCAAAACATTCCAAGATATAAACTTTATTAAGGAAGTCCCATTGAAACGTGTAGTTCAGTATCATGGAAAGAGAGGGGCAGAAAAGTAAATTTAGTTGGGAGTTTTAATGGCTGAAAACAATGGTCAATGGATACCTCATTCATTTGCCAATGACTGTAATACAAAGTCAGCTTGCATCTCACAAGTTCAAATGGTGATCTTGTTAAGCATGCCTGAAGAAAACAGATCATAAAACACATATAATAAGCTCATGAATCGGGAAAAGATAAGTTGGAATAAATTGATGTTTGTTTTTTAAATAATAAATTAAATTAGCCTTAATATGAATTCATACATTTAGGGGGGAGTTTGTTTTTTAAAATTATTAACCACTTACTGGACTAAAATGTCTAACCTGGTGCCATAGCTCTTACCAATGACATAAATCCATGACTTCAAAAAAAAAATTTATATGTAATATTTCTTTTTTAATGTATTTGAAAATTAAGTAATTCATTCTGCATATGGAATACCTACCAAGGTCAAGGCAACAAATTGTTTTTAATTTCTTTGCTTTATCGGGTTTCTGGTCCATGCTGGTATGTTTGTGACTGGTGTATATATATATATATATATATATATATATATATATATATATAATAAAACATTTTACTTTTTTAAATAACTCCAAGCAAAACTATTGGCAAACCTCTACTCGGGTAGCCCTACTGGCTAAAAGCCTTTCTTTAAGTTCTGCTATTTCAGGATTCAAACATGAAAGGAGAGTCTTTTCCTCTAGGCTTAAATGATTAACAAGTTTTTTTCTCATTTCTTCTCTTTTCATATCAATATTATTTTTTTACTTGCTCCATTGGAGTCTCCACATTTGCAAGCAACTTCCTCTGAGTCCTGTTGTATTACTAAGAAGACTAGTAGTTCCTTATGCCATGCCTATGATGAGTCCTGCTCGACTCTGCAAAAACCAAAATTAGTACTTATTTCTTAATAATATTTATGTTTCAAAGGCTGCAAAAGTAGCAACATATTATAAATGTGATGTGATGATATTACCTTCATAAAGCTTTTGGCCGGAACTGAGAGGAAATATTTGATGCCAACTCCCACACTCCTTGCGAAATCCATGGGATTTTCTATTACACCAGCAGAGCCAAAAACCTAAAGAGAAATATGATGGAATTTTAACAGCATTGTAATTGTAAAAAATAAAATTTAACTTCACGTATAAAAAAATATCTAACCTTGTATATATAAATAGAGAAATAACAAATATTTAGATGAATTACTGTTGAAAGAAGAGTACTTGAACACCAAAAAAGCCATGTTAATAGGAGACACACTGTCATGGATTTATCTAAAAATTTGACTTTTTTAATTCATGTTTCTATCAGAATTTGTTAAAATTAGGGAAGAACAAGAACAGTAAGAGGAAACCCAAACGAATTTAATAGTAAAAAGTTCAACGCCACATGCAAACATGTTATGAGCTGTAATTTGTACTCAAATCCCATGATTTTATCTAAAAATAAGAACTTTATTGTTCAAATCTCGAGCAAAACATATCAATAACATCAATCGATGAAAATAAAACAAATTAAACATCAACACTAGGAAACCCATAGCAAATCATACAAAACTTTTCCAAAGTTGGAGCTTTTTTTCTTCATATTTCAAGCCAAATATGCCGAAAGTGACAAAAAGAAAGCAACAAATTCATTATGAAAACACATGAAATTCAACTCTGAAAAAGCGATAGCCTATATGCGTACAAAATCAGAAGATTCTATCAACATGACTACGAAGGATATCAATCATAGTCAAAGTACCTAAAAAGTCAGCTATAGAAACAAAAAGAAAAAAAAAATCAATGAATGAATAGACCCCAGTTCATAATACATATTTTCAAGGAGACTTAAAATTCGAAATGGAAGTTAAAACTTGAAAACTAACAAAAAGCATTAAATTTATTATTTCTTACAGATTTCCCAGGATTATACTTATAACCACTTGAAAACGATAAATATTCTGAAATTATGTTGAGTAAGGAATGGATGACAAAGACAAGTTTTGAAAACATTGGCTTGCCTTGGTTGAATTCTTGAATCACCAATAAAGCACATCCAACTCTTTTGTCTACAAAATTGACTTTTGGTTATGAAATTTCCAAACAAAACCTCATTTTATTCAAAAATTAGAAGAATTGAAATCTGTATAAATAAACAACCTTACGTTTTCTCAAGCGCATTGCTGCTTACCACTCATTAGAGGTGAGTCTTTCCTCATAGCTACGGAAAAGAGCATCGCATAATGAGCAAGTTGGAAATGTGTTTGGCCTTGTCTTGCAACTGACTTCTTGTCTGTTGACTAGTGTTTGTCAGCAAGGTTGACCGCGTTTTTTATATACTTCTCCAAGATAGTCCTAGAGCTAAAGGGCAGAATGGTAAAGTTAGCTTCATTGTCTTGCAATATTTAAGAAGACAAATTGAGAATATGGTTAACAATTATATTTTATAACTAACTTGCTAGAACGTGTTTCAGCCAGCCATTTTCCAACTAGACGATATACATCTGCTGCCGCCTCATTCATTTTGCGATTTTGAGAGATGTACTTTGCAAGATTAATTGCCATCTCATATTGACCTTGGGCCCGCAGAAGCTTTGCTTCTTCAATCTAGTTAGAATAAAAATTATATATTAAGGAAGGAAAAATAAAAGGGTCGGTGATGAATAATGATGTTATTGAAACGCATACCCTTCCAAGCCAATAGAGTTTAGAATATTCTCCCTTCATATCTCTGACAATCTTCATCTATGGATGAGATAGATGAGAGAAAAACTTAGAGAGTGAAGAGTGAAGTCGGATTTAGGAGAATTTGTACTAGTTTTAGGGTTTCCTTCGGTTACTCCCTTCACATCTCTAACAATCTTCATCTATGGAGGAGAGAGATGAGAGAAAACTTGGTGGAGGGGGAGAGATCAGAAGGTGGATGCATCAATTAGGGAGAAAACAAACTCAGAGAGTGAAGAGTGAACTCGGATTTAGGAGAAGTAGTACCATTTTTAGGGAGAAATCGAACCAGTTGGTCTTCATTGTTGATCTTCTCTGTCGCCATTACTGGCTCCTGAATAGAGAGAAAGGGTAGGGTTTAGGCTGATTTAAGGATTCATAGTCGCATGTGTGTAGAGGTGAGCCTGAGCTCGCCGACGAGGTTAGGTGAGATAGAGGTTGTCGGTGAGACTCATCAGGTCGTTGATTGAAAAGCACTCGTGTGGAATGGAAAAGCGTTTTGAATGATAGCGTTTTATGTGTTCTTCAAAAAAAGCCCTAGAATGAATAGCCCATGTGATTGTTTTTATCAGAAATTATTTAACCTGGAAGAAGGATTGACATGCAGCCTCACAATTCTTTAGGGTTCTTTGGGAGAGGATTTTAGAAGGAGAAGAAGGACACACATTAGGCGGGGTGTTCAATTTTTTGAGATCATTTCCCCCCATCAGTTATTAAAAACAAATGAAGAACGCGCCTTCTTAAAAAAAACATAAAGCGACAACTTTACACGATGCGCTTTTTATTATAGGTGCCATTCGTGTTTTTTTTGGACACTAATTTTAAGGCACGCAAAAAATGCGTGTCCACTATCCTTCAAAATTTAGAAAACTGACATTATTTTTAGGACGCACAAAAAATGAGTATTGCAGATTCATGCGTGTCATTGTTTGCGCATCGTAAAAGGCTGTTTTCTAGTAGTGTAGTGTTAGATTTCGATTAGACACTCATTAGTGTGTAACATCGTTGTAGGAAAATGATAGTCGTACGAGTGGAGCGTAGTTCAAGTCACCATTTGCATCATCTCAATGCATTGTGAGTATTCACCACTCCCCTATTTTCGGTTTTTAAATGTTTTGGGGTGGAAAAGCATGTCCTAAACTTTTTATGTTCGTTGTATTTATAATTGACTCGTATAAACTTGGTTGAAATGTTTTGCATATTGTGAGTATTCACGTACTCCCCTATTTTTAGTTTTTATATTTTAGGGTGGAAAAACATGTCCCGAAAAACTATTATTTGAAAGTTTTATTTAAATTGATTTGTATCAAATATGATTGTTGTTTTATTGCTATATCTCTCTATGTATGTCTATGCATCACGGAACATGAGAACTTATCGTATTAAGGCCTTTCCCTTATCTCTAACCATTAACTCTTTGAGCCAATGGTTATTATGGATAGCGCCATTAGGAATTGACAACTCTTCACTCGCCCTATTGTTGGAGTGTATGATACCATATTAATCTATGGAACGATAAGCATAGATCTTGATAGGGCTTTAGTCATAGGTTTGGTTAAGAACTCATTGTTTGCACATACACATACAAACTTGTTACTTATTATAGCAATAAACTTGTTTATTAATTATAGCAATGAACTTTGTATCTCATTACAACAACGAACTTTTAATACTGAAAACTTGTATACATGTTTTAGCAATGAAATTGTTTGCTCCTTGTAGCAACAAAATTGATTGCTCATTTTAGCAATGAAACTTGTTTACTCGTTTGAGTAACGAACTTTATCTTCCATGAGAATATGAATGTTGCATCTTATTTGGTCAACATACATTATCTCTCATGATGACAAAGAAGTTTGTTTTTACAAACTTATTTACTCCTTTTAAAAATATACTTTTATTGTTGGAAACTTTTATCAAAACTTTGATTTCAATTCATGAACCAATATTATTTTGTTAAACTTGTGAGTACTCACCAACTATTTTTATAGTTGATGCTCGTTTTACATGCTTTTTTAGGAATCATTGAGTAGGTGGCACTTAGGGACACTTCACTGTCAGGAGCATTCGCATGTGTTGTATTCCAATTTTCATTGTAATTTCTTTTAAAAGTTGTTCAAACCCATTGTAAATTTGTAATGATTTTTAATACTATGGTTGGTGTTGTCTTTTAACTTTTGCTATCAAACCCTTTATACTGCCACGCCTTGTGTTTCCGCTTTAGTGGGGTGTGACAACTAGATCTTCAATTCTCATTTAGGTTGTTTTGGCTAAAAAATGCTCGATTTAAAATTCAATTTTCGGGTTGTATACTGTTATGCGAAATCTTGGAAAACTCATAACTTCCTCATACGAAGTTAGATTTTGACGTTCTTTTTATGCACGCTCTCATTTTAGTGTATACTAAAATTTTAATTACGATTTATAAGGCTAAAAAGTAGTTTATCAAAAATTCACATTTTACATTATACAGTGTCGTGTCGGTTTAGTCGTGTCACACCCCGAAAACCGAAGGCGGAAACATTTTCGGGGTTGACTCCACGTTGAGTATCAAATCCAATGCACATAGTAAGTAAAGTAAAACAACCATTACATTACATAAGGAAGAGTTTTACAATTGTTTCAAAAGTAAAGTTGTACAGTTGTGATACATAATATATATATATATATATATATATATATATATATATATATATATATATATATATATATATATATATGAACAAAATGAAACGGATCTTCCGAGTACTCCGTCTTCGGAGAAAAAGGATCTTCAGGTACCTGTTCTAACGCTGACATGAGGACAAGCGGTTTGAAAATCAGCATAACGCTGGTGAGTTCATAAGCAATTTTTGTTTATGAAATGTTCAAGTTTCCTTTCTGTTTCTGAAATGTTATGCACACCAAGAAAATCCCGTATTTTCTTAAAAAGGTTGGTTATTGTTTGTCAACATGTAAAGTAAAGTTGTACACTGAAAACATGTTTTCTCTTGTGTAAATGTACAGTTAGGTTATCTGGTTTGACATATTGTCCTGGTTATGTACCAATATATTCCCAGGAAAGTCCCATACTTTCCTGATTGTGTTACCAATTGTGAAAGATGTAAAGTTATCCTGTTTGTTACCCTTTTCTAGTTAAGTAAACGTTTCCCCCAGGAAAGTCCCATACTCTCCTGAATGTTGGTTATCAATGTAAAAGATGTATTTGTCAGACGTGGTTATGTTCAATGTTTTCCCCAGGAAAGTCTCATACTTTCCTGAATGTTGGTTATCACTGTAAAAGATGTATTACGTTATTCATTATCACTCTCAAGTAAATCTCTGTTATCCTAATTGCGAGTTCCATAACCATACAATAGACTAGATATGGCAATAAGTAGTCCACATCACCTTATGACTTTCGTCACCCTTGAACCATTTCAGTTCGGCTGTAGTTAGCAGCCAGGTGTGGGGTAGTCATCCCCGTATATATCTATACACTCAAGTCACGTTCTCTAAATCCCAAAGATTCTGGTTACGGGTGCAGTCCTCCACTCGCGTATCTCTGTGGAGTGTTCGCCGAGGACGTGTCTCCAATCATACAGGACTAACAAATTTACTAGTAATAATATGATAGTCCTCCACTCGAGTATTTCTGTGGAGTGTTACCGAGGAAAAAACAGTACAGGTTTTGTGTTCAAATGTTCTAATGTCATGCTTTTAACTGATAAAATGTGGAAAACCATTTGTGAAATATATATAAAACATAACAGTTTAAAATCCATTTCATAAATATATGTTTACGTGATCTGCATGTTCAATCGGTTATCAGTTGTAGCAATCAGTGTTAAAAGCATATAAGATGTGAAACACAGACATGAAAACATGTTTTGAGTACAAGTAATCCCTTGTACTTTGCTTGTGTTCCCCCCTGAAAACAGTGAAAACAGTGAAAAAGGGTAGGGGTATGAACTCACCAGACGAGAAGATGCAACTGTTTCGGACACTAAACGTTGGTTCGAGGCTTGTTAACACGCAAGGTTCCTATGTAATATGAAATGGTACCCAAAGGTATCTAATTAGACTTTAAACGACTAATTATATAGGATAATACACTCCAATGAATTAAAACACCTCAAAACGAGTGTTTGGAGTGACCCGGGTGACATCTTCGGACGTGTAATGATGCGAGGGACTTGGAAAATGAGTTTACTCATCAAGAGTAAACTTCCTAATGGAGTTTTCGGCCATATACCCTAACACACATGAGTTAACGGCCGCGAACTCATGTTTGGGTAGTTTTGAGTGTTTAATGGCTTGAATGGACATGGGGATTGCTAGAATGGATTTATCAAATGCCTTGGATTAATTTTTTATGGACTTCTACACCATTTATGGGAGTTCACGGCTGTAAACATGGAGTTTACGGCCATAAACTCCCCCAAGCTCAAACCAAAACTAATTTGAGGTGCTTAGGACAATCACATGTGATTCTAGTTGATTTTCCAAGGCTTGGTATGACTTTAGGGCACCATTTAACACACAATTAGGAGTTTACAGCCTAGGAGCATGTGCTATGGCCGTAAACTCTCAAATGGAGAGTGCTTGATGTGTTTAAGGTCCCCAAAACATTTTTAGATGGTTCTAGGATTTATTCCAAGGCTATTGGTGAAGTTACAAGGCATTCTAACATGTTTAAAAGAGTTTACTCCCCATGTTTGAGGTGTTTACGGCCCAAGCATATGTCTTGGCCGTAAACTCTCATTTGTCCCTCAAAATTCAAGTTTAAGGTGTTCCAAGTCCAGGTTTGTAAGCCTCAAGGTCGTATCTAAGTCCCAATGTTGGTTTGGAAGGGTTAACTTGCTCAAAAACCCCAATATTATGTGTTTACGGCCCAAGCAGGCTCTTTGGCCGTAAACACATGTTCCAGGTCCAAAATCACAATTTAAACACGGATTTGAAGGCCTAAGAGGTTGAATAACAAGTTAGGAAGGTTACCTCTATGATTTGAAGCCTTAAATCTA